TTATGTGACTAATAATTTATACTGTTTCCTTTGTTGTAAGCCATCTTGTGTCCCCATGAGGAGAGGGGGCAGAATATTTTAAAAGTTTTATTATTATCTTTATTATATTATCCTTTTTTGCCTACTGCTAGGCAAATGTTTTGTGTGCCTTTGTAAGAAGGTAGTGATGGGTATAGTTCCTAGAATCTCAAGTAGAAATATAAGCGGTTTATAAACAGTAGGCCTGGGTAACAACGGAAAAAATTGTTTCTAAAATCGATTCGTTTTTTGGGGGTTTTTGCATTTCGATTTTAAAAAGAATTCCGAAATTTTTCTTTTAAAAAGTTCGATATTTACGAAATTTCGTAAATGTTAAAAAAATTACGAAACAATAACGAATCGATTTCGAAACAATAATGAATCGATTCGTTAATGGCGGACGCGACCGCAAAATACGCTAAAAAACCTCCAAATGGGACAGGGGGAACTTCTGAAGCTTCCCTCTCCCTCTGTTGTTGACTGTTGGTGTGATATTATAATTTTTTTCACTAATTAAACAAAAAACAACTATAAAACTTGCCCCAGACATGCAGAAATAATAACGAAACGACTTCAAAACGATAACGAAACGAATACATAACGAAACTGAAACAATTACGAAACGAATTTAAAAATTCGTTTCGTTTTTAAGTTGCTCCAGAATAGTTCGTTATCGCTTTGTTATAAAAAAATAACGAATTTTTAACGAATTACGAATTAACGAAACGAAACCGCCCAGCCCTAATAAACAGTATAAACATGTTAACATTTTATATACCACTACAGAAGCTAATATTTAAACTGTATAGAGTGGCTTATTTAATACTACTTCAGAGGAATCAAAATACTTAATGAAGAGAACAATTACATCATTTTAACTTTGGCAGCAGAATGCTGATTAAATTACTCCCTGGATAATAAAAAAAGGAATGTAAATACTTCCTTGTGTGGAATCAGAGCATCCCATTGCCAACAGTCCCTTGTAAGTCTCTTTTGCCCTGGAAGAGAAAGACCAAGTACAGAATCTACCTGTATGGGATCATGCTTCCTTCACTTCTTCCAAATCACATCTCCAAAGTCTACACATGACTCTAATCCTGAATTTGGAATTATGCAAATGGGAGAATACTAAATCTTTCCTCAGGTTACCCACAGATAGATTTATAGTTATAAAAACTAAACTAAGTAAACCTGATGATGGCACTTAAATCTTTCAGGACACTTTTGATTTATAAGTCCACATTTATCTTTCTATAAAGGCTTTTACTTCAACATTCTTTCAAGACATTTATGGACAATTTAACCATATGTTAAACTCCTGTTTTTCAGCTGACCTTGGCTTTTTTGTTGAAATAAACATGTGGGTGTTTTTTAAATGTTTTTAAAATATTTTAAAGTCATACTAATGACAAAAGTCATACTAATGACAAAACTTCTTCCACCATTAGAACCAGGAGGAGGAGGAGGGGCAGGAGGAGGAGGATTTCCTTAACACATGAATCCCCTGATCCATGGATCCATGATCCTTCAAAACTTGGTCCAGAGAGGAGGAAAACCCAAGCTGGGATATTTTTGACCCTGCAAAGGACTACAAGGGAGAGTGAAAGTAAAAAGTAAAAACACTGGATTCACCTTTTTAACAATCAAGTCATCACATTATATCCAATATAGTACCATGAAGATATCACACCTAGATTTGCTTTCAGATAATTCCATTCTGTTCCTTTCTTATTTATATTCATGACCACTCAATTCATTTGGTGTTATACTGGGGATAAATAGCTTTTCATCACCATATACAGAAGTTGATTGTAAATGATATGATTATAACTGTATTTGTGTTTGCACTGGTTGCCCTAATGCTGGAGCGGCCTAGCTGTGAGGAGTGTGTTACCATGGAAACGATGCTGTAGAGAAGTGGGAGGAGCTTAGAGAGGAGAGTTTTTGAAAAGCGACAGTTAAAGTTAGGGTTTAGGCTCAGAGGAATGAAGAGTTGGGGGTTTAGGCTCAGAGGAATGAAGAGTCAGGTTTTAGGCTCAGGGAAATGAAGTGTTGAGAGAGAGAGTGGGAAGTAGAGAAGCAGTGTTTGTGAATAGTCAGAGGTTTCTTCAGTTTAGGAAGGCTGAAGGGGAAACCTTATTAGTTTCATTAGTTAGAGAAGACTAATAGAAGCTTGTTTAGATCACTAGTTAAAAGTGAACTAGAGATCTGAGGTTTGATCACGGAAAGATCAAACAGGAGACTATTCACTTCAGGAACCATTGTTTAATAAGTGCTTCACCACAGCAAAAGTTATTGATAAGTTGTAACATCAGAAGTCTGTACTGTATCGCAACCAAGTTATATGTAACGTTCTCCAAGTATCTTCCAAGTTTATCACCAAACTGCAACCATACGCTTTGTTTCAAAATAAACTTGTTCTCTTTGATTTTAAGACTGCCTCATCTCCATTAATTCTGCGTTCAGTGTGCCCAATCTCCCAAAATTACCTCACATCACAAATTGGTGGCACCATTAAGAATATTAAATAATAAATTGTAACTTCTCTCTCCTGAAACCCTTTTCTTTGAATTGGGGCAAGCCCTTTGCAAATTGGTGGCAGACGACGGGATCTGTTTAACAACTGATCAAGTGCCTTAAGACTATTTTGAGTATAAGTTGTGAGGTAAAAGTTATTGGAATATGGCTACCAGGCGACAGAAAAAGCTTGTTGAGGAAACAGAGGGAGACCAGGAAGAAAGTTCGGGCTCTGAAGCAGAAACGGAGCCAGTGCCTGTGTCAGAAATGGCTTTTAAGTACAAACTAGAGATGAAACGATTGGAAATCGAGGCAAAAGAAAGACAAAGGGAGGCAAAACAAAGGGAGAGAGAACTGGAGATAGAGGCAAAACAAAGGGAAAGAGAGTTTGAAGAAAGACAAAAAGAGAGAGAACAGGAGATAGAATTGAAGAGAATGGAATTTGAACTGCAAAAGCAAAAATTAGCTTTGTCTCAAACATCCAGTAACATCCAAGAAGGGAGCTCTGGAGTGGATACCCCAGATATGATAAAGAGATTTCCTAAATTTACTAAGGATGACGATGTAGAGAAATTTTTAATCTCATTCGAAAGATGTTGTAGGGATTTTGGGGTTGCTAAGGAAAAATGGATGACATACCTAAGGCCTCAGATAAGTGGAAAGCTCTTACAAATTTATGGAGAAATGCCTGAGGAGTCCTATGGGGATTATGATTTATTTAAGAAACAGATTCTACAAGAATTTCGATTAACTCCTGAATTTTACAGATTCAAATTCAGGACCCTAAAAAGAGATAAAAATCAAAGTTTCGCTCAGGTGGCCTCTAAATTGTCTCAACTGTTCGATAGTTGGCTAAGGATGTCTGAGGTGGAGAATTACCAACAGCTGAGAGAACTTTTAAAATTGGAACAATTTTTCCAATTGGTGCCTTCCGATTTTCGCTGGCTGATACAGGATCGAAAACCATCCACTATAGTAGAGGCAGCGGTTATGGTAGATCAAATAATTACCCTAAAAGAAGGATTCAAAAGGGAAGATCTGCCAAGTGATAAAAGAACAAATAGGCAGCCATTTTACCAACATCAAACGCGCCCACAGCAAGGAAAAGGTTCTGAAATAGAAAACCCCACCTGGAGGAGGCAGGGTGTAACAAGTCAAACTGCTCCTGAGGGAAAAAGGAGGTGTTTTCAGTGTGGAAAGTGGGACCATATAAAGTATCAATGTCCCCTTTTAAGAAAAGAGAAAACAACCCTCTTTGTGAATAAAGTAAAAGAAACAAAGAAGACAGAACCAGATTCTGTGTCAAAGGAGAGTTCAGAAACAGAGCCTCAAGAGAAACAGTGTTTGTTCATTTTGTCAAACACCCCATCGGAGGATTACTTAGAATCCATTTCCATCGACAACAAAGACATGAGAGGACTGCGGGACACAGGGTCCGAAGTGTGTATTGTACATCCAGATATAATACCTCAGAAATTTCAGCGCCCTATCTCTGAAATAAGATTAAAAGGCTTGGGACCTGCAATACCAACAGCAGTGGTGTCTTTGCCAATAGAATATGGAGGTTGGAAGGGTATGTGGGATTTTGCAGTCAGCCCAGACATACCATACCGATGTTTAATTGGAAATGATCTGGCTAAGAAGATTGAAAACTGGAAAATGACGTGTGAGGAGGAAGAATATAACAACAAAAGCCCTGATCAAAAAGCCATGTGTTTCGCCATACAACAGGATGGGGATGAGAATCCAGAATCCAGCGCTACGGTTGCTGAGCTTATTAAGAAAACGGGAGGAGTCAGAGAAATTCAACAGGAACAAAGAGCAGATGAATCTCTAAAACCTTTGTTCACTTTGGCTCAAAACCCCACAGTATCAGCAAAAGGACAGCCCTCCAAGTTTGTGTTAAAGAATGGTGTCTTGTATAGAGAAACCAGAAACATGAAGTCAACAGAAGGATCAGTGACATATAATCAGATTGTAGTACCTCAAAGTTTTAGAGAACAGCTGTAACATCAGAAGTCTGTACTGTATCGCAACCAAGTTATATGTAACGTTCTCCAAGTATCTTCCAAGTTTATCACCAAACTGCAACCATACGCTTTGTTTCAAAATAAACTTGTTCTCTTTGATTTTAAGACTGCCTCATCTCCATTAATTCTGCGTTCAGTGTGCCCAATCTCCCAAAATTACCTCACATCACAAATTGGTGGCACCATTAAGAATATTAAATAATAAATTGTAACTTCTCTCTCCTGAAACCCTTTTCTTTGAATTGGGGCAAGCCCTTTGCACTACCCAAAACCGAATGAAGAAGCTGCACCATTGAAAACAATAATTGTGTCTTCACACAGTCAGACAGGTTCATTGATTCTCAAACAGGGAAATTAAATTAAAATGTAATGATCAGAAGGAATCTGTCCATTTCAGTCAAATAGGAGTGAAAGAAAACAGTAAATGGTACTAACCTGACACATCCAAAAATGTCTGTGCTTGCCCAGTTCCTGCACTGCTGCTAGCAATGCATTCATAGTAACCCTCATCAGATAGAGATACCTTGATAATTTCCCAGTTCACAATAGCAGATTCTCTGAAATTAAGACAAAAAAACCATATATAGATTTGGCCAGCAGTTTCATCCTAAATCAAGAGACACTACTACAATATGGAAGTTGTTCAGTTCTGTTGAAACACATATGTAACAACAGGTTCTTCATTCAATGGGAGAAAAGCCAAGGTAAATCTCATTAGCTAAGATGAAACTCTCAGTCAGTAACCCTTAACTTGAAAATTACTTTGTGAAGTCATCAACCTACAATGTGATGTGGCGGCAAAAAAAAACCAATGGGATTTTGGCCTGCATCAATAGGAGCATAGTGTCTAGATCTAGGGAAGTAATGCTATCCCTCTATTCCGCTTTGGTTAGACCACACCTGGAATATTGTGTCCAATTCTGGGCACCACAATTCAAGAGAGATATTGACAAGCTGGAATGTGTCCAGAGGAGGGCGACTAAAATGATCAAGGGTCTGGAGAACAAGCCCTATGAGGAGCTGGGCATGTTTAGCCTGAAGAAGAGAAGGCTGAGAGGAGATATGATAGCCATGTATCAATATGTGAGAGGAAGCCACAGGGAGGAGGGAGCAAGCTTGTTTTCTGCTTCCTTGGAGACTAGGACGCGGAACAATGGCTTCAAACTACAAGAGAGGAGATTCCATCTGAACATGAGGAAGAACTTCCTGACTGTGGGAGCCGTTCAGCAGTGGAACTCACTGCCCCAAAGTGTGGTGGAGGCTCCTTCTTTGGAAGCTTTTAAACAGAGGCTGGATGGCCATCTGTCAGGGGTGATTTGAATGCAATATTCCTGCTTCTTGGCAGGGGGTTGGACTGGATGGCCCATAAGATCTCTTCCAACTCTTTGATTCTATGATTCTATGATTCTACTCTACTCTGTTCTATAATCATATAACAAAATATGGGAGGAAATTAATTTTTTAAAAAGAATAAGATATTTGATAATGTTTGAGACAGAATTACAAAACAAATGAAATATTGGCTACAGTGACTTTATAGAATTTCATTAGAAGATCTCTGAAATACACAGTCACCAGTTAACAGGGAAGGATTGTTAAATTAAGTTCAATTATTCAATGAATTTTTATCAGATATAAGAGAAGCACTGGGAATGTGTGGTCCTCCAAAGTTTGTCGGATGGCAAACCTCCACCAGTCTTCAATACCACAGCATATCATAGATAAAGAACCATGAGAAACAAAGTTCAGCAAAATATGGAAGATCACATATTTTGCATCCTTAATATTGGTTTTCATCCTGATAAAATTAGTAATTAGTCCCTCTGATAAAAGATTGATTGGAACCATACATTTTACTTAACTGCATTTTCTATTAATTGAATGTATGATACAGAAGCAACTGTGATTTTTCTAAGTGTTTCGATATATCTCACTATTTTAATATTATGATCTTGAAAATGAAGAAAGGCCCTTAAATTTATCCTCAGATAACTTTTTAAAAAAACTGTAAAAACTATTGATTTATTTTGTACCTTTTGCTTGTCCTAACCAAGATATCAACACAAGATAGATTTGGAATTGGTGTTGAAATGTTTCTTTTTGTTTTATGGTTAACACATCTTCTCCTGCAATTGCTGGAAGTAGTTGGTAGACAGGAAACTGTTATACTTGAGGAAGACGACTGGCTCAAGTTAAACATGAGCCAACAATGTGATGTGGCGGCAAAAAAAGCCAATGGGATTTTGGCCTGCATCAATAGGAGCATAGTGTCAAGATCTAGGGAAGTCATGTTACCCATCTATTCTGCTTTGATTAGACCACATCTGGAATATTGTGTCCAATTCTGGGCACCACAATTCAAGAGAGATATTGACAAGCTGGAATGTGTCCATAGGAGGGCGACTAAAATGATCAAGGGTCTGGAGAACAAGCCCTATGAGGAGCGGCTTAGGGAACTGGGCATGTTTAGCCTGAAGAAGAGAAGGCTGAGAGGAGATATGATAGCCATGTATAAATATGTGAGAGGAAGCCACAGGGAGGAGGGAGCAAGCTTGTTTTCTGCTTCCTTGGAGACTAGGACGCGGAGCAATGCCTTCAAACTACAAGAGAGGAAATTCCATCTGAACATTAGGAAGAACTTCCTGACTGTGAGAGCCGTTCAGCAGTGGAACTCTCTGCCTCGGAGTGTGGTGGAGGCTCCTTCTTTGGAAGCTTTTAAGCAGAGGCTGGATGGCCATTTGTCAGGGGTGATTTGAATGCAATATTCCTGCTTCTTGGCAGGGGGTTGGACTAGATGGCCCATGAGGTCTCTTCCAACTCTTTGATTCTATGATTCTATGATTCTATGATTCTTGCATTGTACATTGGGACTTTTTTTCCTGCAAGCTTACTCCCTTCAAAATAAGGGGAAATAACCTAATTTGTCTCCAACTGACAAGGTTTATATGTTTCAATGCCTGCATTTGTCTCCAGATTTGACAATACATAAAAATCCCCTAGAGATGTTTCCGACATAGTGGACTGAGACTCAGACTGGATAGGGGCAAAGGCAATTCTCAGAGGGAATTCCTTTGTAACTTGAAATAGAGAAGCCAGGCCTTCCTGTTTCTTATTTACTGTCATTGTTCCAAGTCAATATACTGCCATGGGAAAAGAGATGCTCTTGTTTTTCATCTTCAAACACTTCCTGTACAGCATCCCAAAGCATCACTTTTCTTTTTCTTGCATGCTATCTTTACCATCTTTGACTGTTAAAAAAAATCCTATGAGCATCAAAGGCCAGCCTCTTCAATTTTGGATGTTCTAGGTATCACAATAAAGTCAAAGTTGAATGTCTGTTTTTGATGTGTGTTTGTTTTGTAAATAGTCAACAGAAGATAAACACTGGATTAATTTGCAAATCTGGTTGCTAAGACATGTATCGCTGAATAAATGCCACTGTAGAAAGAAAAATGGGTTAATCAAAGGGGGAAAAAACATATTTTCCTTAATGTTTGATTTGGGTATCCATCTCAGCTGAAATATACCAAGCTCATAAGGTAGGCAGGAACACTAAATTCCTATCTGAATTTTACTATCACATAATGCACTCTCAAGATTGTTATCTTGCTATCTTTCCTATCATTCCTATGGACCGAAAAGGAAAACACTACAATAAGACTGATGGATTGTCACTTACTTGAAAAACTGTTCCATACCCAGTATAATTCCATTCCTGCTAAAATACATGGTAAAAGGTATGAGGCTGGATATTTGGCAAGGAATGTGGCCTGGCTTCATATAATATCCTGGGGTTTTCTCAGGCATGCTCACTTTTGGAGCATCTAAAATACAAACAAAACAAAAATAAACAAGTAGCTCAATGGACTGTAACCAAAATAAAAATGCAGAGTAGGACATGCCTTTTTTGTGAACATGAAAATGTAACAAAAGTAGTGCAAATATGGTACATGCTATTACATACTTCCACAACTATTAATCAGGTACAAAACATACCCGCTAATTTTGATAACTTTGTGGATATCAAAGAATTCTTAAATAGTTTGTGTCACCTTTGTATCATTAGAATAAAAATAGTGATAAATGTAACATAACTGAGAAGTAACTCTCCTAAATCATCATTCCTAAATAGAAGAACAACAATTTTGGGGAAAGAATTACCAGGAACAATATTTGAAAAAGAAACACTGGAAACTCTCTGAAAGAGGTAATCATGTTTGCCATAGCCAGTTATTTTAAGAAAGAAGGCTTCATTTGGTGGAATAAACTCAGTAATGTTCCAGATTCCATAAGGTTTTCGCTCAGGAAAGTATTTCACAGGAACAGTCTTTAGAAGTTCTCCACTGATACTGAGCAATTCTAGACGATCCACTCTGGCAGGGGGATTGATCCCTGTAGTGTTCAGCAGAATATAGGTAGGTATCCCTATTAATAAAATACAAATCAAAATTTACAAAGATGTAAAGCTGGACCTTGGCAATCAAATGAGAGTTCACAAGCATGGTTGTCCCACTGAAACTGTATTATACATTTTGGTTCTTTGATGCAGAAAAATGATAATGTAGCACTCCATCAACTTATTCCTAATCAATACTAGATAAGAAACCATAATCCATCCATAATTCAGAGAAACCTCAGTATACACATCAATATTTTCTCTCAATGGGAAACAGCAAGGCGTATTTACTAGGGCTGTCCAACCACGGAAAAATTTGTTTCTAAACTCGATTCGTTTAAAAGAATTCCGAAATTTTTCTTTTAAAAAGTTCAATATTTACGAAATTTCGGAAATTACGAAACAATTTTGAAACAATAACGAATCGATTCGTTAATGGCGGGCACGATTGCGCAATACGCTAAAAAAACCCTCCAAATGGGACAGGGGGAACTTCTGAAGCTTCCCTCTCCCTCTGTTGTTGACTGTTGGTGTGATAATTTTTTTATCACTGATAAAACAAACAACGACTATAAAACTTGCACCAGACATACGGAAATAATAACAAAACAATTTCGAAACAATTACGAAACAATTTCGAAACAATTACGAAACGAATTGGAAAAATTCATTTCAATTTTTAGTTGCTCCTGAATGGTCCAATATCGCTTCGTTATCAAAAGAAATAATGAATTAATAACAAATTACGAAATTAACGAACGAAACCGCCCAGCCCTAGTATTTACATGGGATTCTGCAATTATATTTTTAATGAACCCTTCTGAAATGATACTCTGAGAAAGATACATTTAAAAGTTAAGAGAGATACCAATTAATATGCAAGGCTGAGAAAATATCTATGTTTCATAGTCAAGACCCTTTTGAATTACAAAATTATCACACCACGATTCCACAAATTCTAAGATCCCTCCCTAAAATGGAAACCCCCAGGATTCTGTGAGAGGGAACAATGTCAGTTAAAGTGGTATCACTGTGCTATAATTGCGCAACATGAAAGGGTCAAAAATATGTGCAACATTACACAGAAGGTTTTGCTTAAGATTCTTTTAAGTTGTTGAAGCACAAACTCCAAACTCTTTGAAATAACTAGGGCCAGAAGTTGGAAAAAATATTTATTTGAATGACAGCTTCCAGGAACCATCTGTCTAGGAAATTCTGAGAGATATAATCCAAAAAGGAAAAAAAATCAAGTTCTGCTGGTACCAAGTATTTATTAGCAGAAATTAAGAGGTAGTTGCCATGTAGATAGTCTTTTAAACAGGGGGAACCATTCGATAAATTAAACTAGAGAGTGACATTTTTTAAAGTTAGAGATTATTCAGATAGAAACTATAATAGTAACTAACCTTGCACCGGCCTGCTGGAAGTCATTTTGAAGTCTAGTGTCAGCTTTCTGGAAAAACCAGCCCTGAAATCTATAGTACTGAGCCCGGTGATACGAACAGAATGTCGCCCACTGCTTGATGTCTGAAAAATATTGAAGCATATTGTATGTGTGTGTGTGATTATATGTACCCAAACTTGTCAAAATGAATGTATGCAGCCTGTTGTCTGCAAGACTGTTAATGAAAACATTGTACCTATAAAATATGGTTTCCCCATATCAGAAACAGACAGTTTATTTTTCATTCTTTTCATACATCCTACAATCAAGGAGCATTCTGAACCCCACTAACGACAGAATTGGGGAAAACTTCCCACACAGAACCCTCATGACCAACAGAAAATACAGTGTTTTCTGGTGGTCTTTGGTGTCCCTTCTGACGCCCCCTCCCCCCCCCCCGGTGACCCCACCCCTCGGGGTCTTGACTTCCCAGGTTGAGAAATGTTGCCTTAAGGCCATCCAGTCCAACTCCCTTCACTAGGGCGAGAAAACATAATCAAAGCTCTCCTGACAAATGGCCATCCAGCCATTCACACACACATATGTATATGACAGATGCAGTATCAAAGACTTCTAAAGAAGGACAATGATATGTGGCATGTTCCAGAGTAAGCAAACCAGACAATCTCCACATCAACACTGACAAAGCAACAGCAAGAAATATTGTTTACCCACGAGCAGAAAGACATTACATATATTAGAAACCAACACTTTCTCATTACTTTATTTTCCAAATCACCAGACTGGGCCACAGCAACGTGTGGCAGGGGACCGCTAGTATAATATAAAGCCATAACAAGATCAATAAGACACCATAAAAACATTTAAAAACATTAACATAAAATATAAAACCATAACAAGATCCATAAGACACAAATCATTTGCGTCTCCTAGTAAATACAACACCATCCAAGACAGCCAAAGAACATCAGCATCATGGAGCTTGGGGAAAAGGGAAGTGTTTGTCTGCTGCGGGCTGCCTTTGATCTCGGCTCCTGGAGACTGGCTCCTTACTACAGTTTGGGAGGCACTGCCTTAGGGTTATGACTGGGGAAGGTCCTAGTAGGATGCTTAAAGGATTGGTACAATGTGTTATTTGTGTATGGGATTATTATGGTTTAATATGTTTAACTGTTTTAAATGGTGTTTATATGCTTATTGTTTCTAGTGATTTTATGTTATGTTTTATATGGTTTTTGTATAATGAGGCATTGTATTTTTGTTCAGATGTATGATGTATGCCACTCTGAGTCCCCTGAGGGGTGAGAAGAGCGGGATAGAAATGAAGTAAATAATAATTAATTAATTAATTAATTAAAACTTTGCCCAATCTCATCATCCAGTTGTTCCACATTCCTATGTCTGTTGCACTGCATTTTCAAATGCTTGCTCAAAAAGCAAAGTCTTGACTTTTCCCGAAATGTTAAAAGGTTGTTATCATCACCGTTATTATTATTAAGTTATAATGTATAGAGAAAGAACAGTCAGAAAGCACAGCAAAATTAAGAGGGGGATTTAATTATAGCTTGCAAGAGTTGACTTGGGGAGCCATGTGTCCTACCAGCTTAACATAGCAGTGGAGCATGTGCTCATACCACATTTTTGGAACATCAACATTCACCACAATGATCATTTACAGAGAATGCCACAGTATTCAGAAGCACATAGTAGAGTAAATCTTATTTGCAATGTACTGTATATCCTGACTTGATTAATATGCACATCATATAAGTTTCTCCTGCTTCATTGGGGTGATGACAGATCTCACTTATGGTTTTATTTGTCCAAAGAAATCCAAAATAAGGCATGGAATCAAAATTCCTGTCCTAGGACATCACTAGCATAAATTTCATCTCCTGTTATGTTTGCCAGACACATGAAAGTTGCAACAGCTTTTGACTGCCAGCGGTTTAGTCTCTTTCCAGAGAAAATGAAAAAAGAGTGGCTACCAAGCTTCTGAAATACATCCTGGCTTTAGCCCTTAAGGAATTAAAACTGAGGAGAAAATCTTCTGCAAGCTGTCAGATGGCCATAGCCTTACTTCTCAAACAGGAGCTAAAGGGTTTGGGTTGAAAAATACGATAAAGCAGTTTTAGTATTGAGACACCAATCCACTGCAGAGCCAAAAAAGACTTTACCTTCAATGATTATAAGTAATCTTACAACATCTTTTATCCAGTTCTTTGCAGATAAAGTCGCTCTGATTCACTCTGACCTGGATGCCACAGTTACTGCAGTCTCTGAAGATGTAGCGAGAGCATCTGCTTGTCCAGTTTTAATGGATTCATTTCAATTTGTGAAACCCAAGGATGTGGACAAGATTCTTGGAGAGATGAGGGTGACCACATGCATCCTGGATCCCTGCCCATCCTGGCTGATAGAGGAAGCCAGAGGGGGTTTGGCAGAGTGGGTAAAGGTGGTGGCTAATGCCTCCCTTCAGGAAGGCAGAATTCCAGCCAGCTTAAAACAAACTGATAAAACCGCTGTTGGAAGTGGATGACCTCTGCAGAGAGATCAACAGGGGGAGTGTGTCTCTTTCGGTTCTCCTGGATTTTTCAGTGGTCTTCAATACCATAGACCATAGCATTCTTCTGGGTCGCCTTGTGAGGATGGGTCTTGTACTGTTCTGCAGTGGCTCCAGTCCTTCTTGAAGGGTCGTACCCGAAAGGTACTGCTGGGGGACTCCTGCTCGGCCCCCCAGCCATTGTCCTGTGGAGTCCCGCAGGGCTCAGTATTGTCCCCCATATTGTTTAACATCTACATGAAGCCGTTGAGTCTACATGAAGCCGTTTTGGAGTCCGATGCCATCTGTACACAGATGACGTCCAACTCTATCATTTTTTTCCACCAAATGCTAAGAAGGCTGTCCAAGAGCCTGGCCACTGTGATGTGTCAGGATCCAGCTTCCAGGCCTTGGGTTTTGGCGCTGGAACCTGGGGTCCTGACGTAGAACATTGATAAGACTCTTGCAGCTGCCGACCTTGAAGGAGAACGGCTTGTAGCGTGTTGTGCGGGGTTTTGACTTGGCGGGAAATGTACTTTCAAATGAGGGGGTGTGTATATAAGGAGGGACCGACTGGTGCCGAGCAATCTCGGCTTTTCACATGTCCATGCATCCATTAGTCAAGTTTCTCGTTGATACCAGAGCGCATTCCTGTGTCTTCATTGGGAGCAGCTGCTGTGAGCTGACAGTGATGCTCTGGATGAGGGCGAGCAAATTGAAGTTGAATCCAGACAAAACAGAGGTCCTCCTGGTCAGTCACAAGGCCAAACAGGTTATAGGGTTAAAGCCTGTGCTGGAGGGGGTTACACTCCCCTTGAAGGCACAGGTTCGTAGTTTGGGAGTTCTCCTGGACTCATTGCTGAGCTTGGAATCCCAGGCTACAGTGGTGGCCAGGGGAGCTTTCGCACAATTAAAACTTGTGCGCCAGCTGCGCCCATATCTTGGGAAGCCAGACTTGGCCATGGTGGTCCATACTCTCATTACATCCCGGGTAGACTACTGCAATGCACTCTACGTGTGGTTGCCTTTGAAGACTGCTTGGAAGCTTAAAATAATCCAACAAGAGGCAGCCAGGATAATAACTGGGGCGGCATACAGGGAGCATATAATTCTCATGTTACGCCAGCTCCACTGGGTATCAGTTTGCTACCGGGCACAATTCCAAGTGCTGGCTTTGGCCTATAAATTTATTTATTTATTTATTTCATTTACTTATACCCCGCCCTTCTCACCCCGGGGGGGACTCAGGGCAGCTTACAGTGGGGGCACAATTAGATGCCCAAAACAATTCACAAGCAATACAAATACAAACAATTCAACAATTAATTAAAAACATCAGTACATAATAAAATAATAAAACAGTCTCATGCTCAGGGTTCAGAGTCCATATATCCATTCCATTCCATTTGTCCTTGTCTATCATCAGATCCTTCAGTTAGCTGTCAGAATGACCAAAGGCTTGATCCCAGATCCAGGTCTTCAGTTTTTTCCTAAATGCCAAAAGGGAAGATGACGATCTAATCTCCCCGGGGAGTGAGTTCCACAGGTGGGGGGCCACCACTGAGAAGGCCCTGCTCCTCGTCCCCGCCAGCCTCACTTGTGACAGTGGCGGGGTCGAGAGCAGGGCCTCCCCAGAAGATCTTAAGCTTCGAGGTGGGACGTAGAGGGAGATCCGTTCAGACAAATACACTGGGCCGGAACCGTATAGGGTTTGTAGGTCAAAACCAGCACTTTGAATTGTGCTCGGAATTGGATCGGCAGCCAGTGGAGCTGACGCAACAGGGGCCCTAAATGCCCCGGCTCAATTTACCTGTTCAAACACATCTCCCCCTATGAACCACCAAAGAGATTAAGATCCTCCAAGGAGACCCTGCTCGCTGTCCCACATTGTCACAAGCACGATTGGTGGGGATGAGAGACAGGGCCTTCTCGGTGATTGCTCCCCAGCTATGGAACTCCCTTCCTGATGAGATCAGATCGGCCCCCTCCCTCCTGTCCTTCAGAAGGATGGTAAAAACTTAGCTGTGGGACCAAGCTTTCAGGACAGTACAATAAAACAGCAATAGGCAACCTTACCAGGCCAATTAGATTAGACGCAGGTAATCAAGATGGTTTTACACAGTGTATTTTAATATTAAGACAAATGTTTTTAATGTTTATGTATGCATATAATGAATTCTTGTCCCGGCATTGAATGTTTGTCATATATATGCTGTGCTCTGCCCTGAGTCACCTTCGGGGTGAGAAGGGTGGAATATAAAGGTTTTAAATAAATAAATAAAATGGAAACAAACATTTAGAAAATTAGTTCTATGATCATTGCAGATTACCTTGATTGTCCACGTCCCAGGCGCTGGATCTTTTATGTTGACTACTTTTGCAGAGTTTTCAATATTCAGTAGTTCCTTTAAACCAGATCCTTTCTTTATAGGTTTTCCTGTATCACAAAAAAGGAGTAGCATTTTATTTTTCTGGTTACCAAGCAATGCTCTACATTTGTAGCCTTGCCTTTTGACACACCTTGAAAATCAAGCTGTGAGAGTCACTGTGTGAGTGAATAATATGAGGGCCCCTAGATGATAAATTATTATTATTATTATTATTATTATTATTATTATTATTATTACTATTATTATTATTATACTTTATTTATATTCTGCCCTATCTCCCCAAGGGGACTCAGGGCAGATCACAGTACACATACACGGGAAACATTCAATGCTGTTTTGGATAGAATTGCAAAAAAATCAACATCTCATCTCACAAGCCAGCCAATTGCACTTACCTTTGCTCTGTCCTAACTTTGCAATATTCTGACCAAAAGATAAATGCAAACTTAACCTGATTCTATCAACCCATCAACATTTTGTATCTTCCTCTTTAGCAATGAGGAGACTGCTTCCCCTCCACTTTGGGAGGAAAGTGGGCAGGGGCTGCTGAGCATAATGATTGCCTGGCCTCATCCAGGCCTTGTCAACAACTGCAAACAGGGCTATTTAAGCCCCATGTGAAGAGGTCCTTAGACAAAGAGTGAAGTATCACTCCTACAATTAAATTGTCCATTGTATTTTAACTGTATTTTAATCTCTGCAGTGGTCTACAGAGATTCCATTCTTTTGACCAGGGCCCCCATCCCGCAGCAACAAATTTTGAATGCGTCCACCTGAGGGTGGGTGACCGGGACAGATTAGGGATTCTGTTAGTGTACCGTCCACCTCGCTGCACTACTGACTCCCTGACTGAGCTAGCGGGGGTGGTCTCGGACCTGGCGTTGGAGTCCCAACGGCTGCTTGTGCTGGGGGACTTCAATGTCCATGCCGAGGCCGCCCTATCGGGAGCGGCTCAGGACTTCATGTCTACCATGGCAACCATGGGGCTGTCCCAACAGGTATCTGGCCCCACCCACAGTGCTGGACATACATTGGACTTGGTTTTCTGTCAGGGATGGGAGGAAGGTGGTGGTGTTGAGGAGTTAACCATCTCTCCGTTGCCGTGGACCGACCACCACCTGGTCAGCTTTAGACTCACTGCACCCCCCAACCTCCGCAGAGGTGGAGGACCCATTAAATTGGTCCGCCCCAGGAGGCTTATGGATCCGGATGGATTCCTGATGGCTCTTGGGGAATTTCCCGCCACCTCGGTTGGTGATCCTGTTGATGCTCTGGTCGCTCTCTGGAATGGGGAGATGACTAGGGCAATAGACACGATCGCTCCAGAACGTCCCCTCTCAAGTAGCCGAGCTAAACCAGCTCCTTGGTTTACCGAGGAGCTGGCAGCGTTGAAGCGAACGAAGAGGGAACTAGAGAGCGTGTGGCGTTCGGATCCGAGCGAGCCAAATCGAACACGGTTTGTGTCCTTTTTAAGGGCATATGCCGCGGCAATAAAAGCCGCAAAGAAAACTTTCTTTGCGGCCACTATTGTGTCTGCAAAGAACCGTCCGGCTGAACTGTTCCGAGTTGTCAGAGGCTTGTTAAAACCCTCCACTCAGGACGGGTGCCCTGAGGACTCGGCAGCTCGCTGTGAAGCTTTTGCTCGGTTCTTTGCAGACAAAGTCGCTTTGATCCGCTCTGGACTGGACACCATATTAACGGCAGTCTCTGAGGATGTAACACGAGCATCTGCTTGTCCAATTTTGATGGATTCATTTCAATTGGTTCAATCCGAGGATGTGGACAAGGTGCTTGGAGGAATGAGAGCAACCACATGCATCCTAGACCCCTGCCCATCCTGGCTTCTAAAGGAGGCCAGAGGGGGATTGGCCGAGTGGGTGAAGGTGGTGGTTAATGCCTCCCTTCGGGAGGGCAAAATTCCAGCCAGCTTAAAGCAAGCTGTGATAAAACCGCTGTTGAAGAAACCATCACTGGACCCCACTCAATTCGTCAACTATCGGCCTGTTTCCAATCTCCCCTTTTTGGGCAAAGTCATGGAACGTGTGGTGGCCTCACAACTCCAGGCATTCTTGGTAGACACGGATTATCTGGATCCGGCACAGTCTGGCTTTAGGCCGGGGCATGGTACCGAGACAGCCTTGGTCGCCTTAGTGGATGATTTCCGTCGGGAGCTCGACAGGGGGAGTGTGTCCCTGTTGGTGCTACTCGACCTCTCAGCGGCCTTCGATACCGTCGACCACGGTATCCTTCTGGGACGCCTCACGGGGATGGGCTGGAGGTACTGTTCTGCAGTGGCTCCAATCCTTCCTAGAGGGTCGATCTCAGAAGGTGTTGCTGGGGGACACCTGTTCACCACAACCTTTGTCTTGTGGGGTTCCTCAGGGTTCAATACTGTCTCCCATGTTGTTTAACATCTACATGAAGCCGCTGGGCGAGATCATCCGGAGTTTCGGAGTGAGATGTCATCTGTACGCAGATGATGTCCAGCTCTGTCACTCCTTTCCACCTGCTACTAAGGAGGCTGTCGAGGTCCTGAACCGGTGCTTGGCCGCTGTGACGGTCTGGATGGGGGCGAACAAATTGAAATTGAATCCAGACAAGACAGAGGTACTCCTGGTCAGTCGTAAGGCCGAACAGGGTATAGGATTACAGCCTGTGTTAGATGGGGTCGCACTCCCCCTGAAGACGCAGGTTCGCAGTTTGGGTGTGATCCTGGACTCATCGCTGAGCCTGGAACCCCAGGTTTCGGCGGTGACCAGGGGAGCATTCGCACAGTTAAAACTTGTGCGCCAACTGCGACCGTACCTTGGGAAGTCCGACTTAGCCACGGTAGTCCATGCTCTGGTTACATCCCGCCTTGATTACTGCAACGCTCTCTACGTGGGGTTGCCTTTGAAGACAGCCCGGAAGCTCCAACTAGTCCAACGGGCGGCAGCCATGGTACTAACAGGAGCGGGGCGCTGGGAGCACACAACTCCTCTGCTGCACCAGCTCCACTGGCTGCCGATATGCTACCGGGCTCAATTCAAAGTGCTGGTTTTGGCCTTTAAAGCCCTAAACGGTTCTGGCCCAACTTATCTATCCGAACGTATCTCAGCCTATCAGCCCACCAGGACCCTAAGATCTTCTGGAGAGTCCCTGCTCTCTATCCCACCGGCTTCCCAAGTGCGGCTGGCGGGAACGAGAGACAGGGCCTTTTCTGTGGTGGCCCCTCGGCTTTGGAACACCCTCCCTATAGAGGTACGATCAGCCTCTTCGCTGATGGTGTTTCGGAAGAGATTAAAAACATGGTTGTGTAAACAAGCATTCGGTTAGTTGTTATCACCGAATTTTATGGACTAAGGACTGGTTAATTATGGATGACGAATTCTGGACTGTGATTTTAGTGACGAGATACATGGTATTATTATTGGTGGCCCAATAATTTGTATTGTCTATGTGTTGTTGTTTTAAATTGTATATTGTTTTTAATTGTTGTAAACCGCAATGAGTCGCCGACTTAGGCTGAGATATTAGCGGTATACAAGTGTATTAAATAAATAAAATAAATACAAAGTTAACACAGTCACTCCTAGTTCCTGGGTAAATGTTAATAAAAGCTAGCTATGAGGAGAAACCCTAGCTGAGGTCTGTCTTGCAGCACTCCCTGCAGAAAATCCAGTGGAATCAAATAAATGAACAGAGAGTGAAAAATGCAACAAAGCAAAGTAGCTGCACACAGTAAAGTACCGTACATACCCGAATATTAGCCGGGTTTTCAGCCCTTTTTTAAGGCTGAAAAAGTCCCCCTTGGCTTATACTCGGGTGAATGTCCTGGCGAGACCCGCACCTCTCCCCGCAGAAACCCAGATCTCCTTTCTTACTTCCTCCCTTGCCCCATGCACGCCTTTCCCTCTGTCTCCCTTACCCTGCAGGCACCTTTCCCTCCTCCCTCACCCCCGCACACCTTCCTCTCCTCTCTGGACAGAATGATCAGCTGGGTTGCCCTGCCAAGAGCGGAGGAAAGATCTTGCTCTCCACAATCCTTCCCAACTCAGTTTTCCCCTTTTCCAGTCCCCCTTTCCCACCCCAGCCTTCCCTTTTATCTTCTATTACCTCCTCTTTTCAATAATATATTACATATTTTACATTATATATCCAGTTATGTATTACACGTTTATGTATGTGTAATACATATATATTTATGTGCGTGTGTATATATATATATATATATATATTTAGAGAGAGAGAGAGAGGGAGTCTACAGATTATCTATATATAATCTCCCAGGGCAGCCAAGGCAAGGAGGCAACCAAGGACTAAGCGGAAGAAGGAAGCATGTTCCCTTGGCTGCAGGGCAGGCGCGGGTGGGGGATGCGTTCTTGCAAAAGGAAGACTCCGGGGGCTTCTCCCCCACTGAGTCTGGGGCCTCCTTGCCGAGCTCCATCTTCGCCATCTTGGTCTATCCCCTCCAAGTCACCCCCACCTCCCTTTCCTTCCTCCTTTTCCTCCTCCTCCTCCTTTCTGCCTCCTTTGCTGCACCGCTTGCAGGAACACATCCTCCACGAGCGCACACTCACAGCAAAGGGAACACACCTCCTTCCTTGCCTCCGCTGCTCCGGGTGAAGAGGGGTTTGGATGAGGCGTCCAAAGCAGAGGAAGAGAAAGATGGGAAGGGGCTGCCTCCCAAGCAGCAGTAGCAGCCCTGTCCCACCAAAAGAAGCTCCCTTCCTGGCAAAGCTTGCCTGGAGGAGCTGCTGCAGCAGTCGCCCACCAAGGGTTCAGTGGTCTTTGAATGCAGGTGAACTACAACTCCCATATGCCTGTATTTACAGCTGGACAAGTTGCAGGGAGAACTACAATTGCCATCATGTTGGGTCAGTCTACGTGTTCACTGTATTTGATTATTTTAGGTCACTTGGCTGCATGCTACAAAGGGGGGGGGGGCTTTGTAGCATGCATTTGAATGTACATATATTCACACATTTATATAAACCAAGCACAGGGATGTTACATCCCCGGAATTTTTCAGGTTAAAAAAACTGGTTTATTCAAGAATTTTACCTGGTTAACCAAATCCCCATGCTAAGTCTATGAGAAGAAAAATTAAACGAGACCCTCCAGAACTGCAAGCACTATCTCAAGCAAATTTTGACAATTTATTTAGACTGTCATTACTTGCAGCAATAGCCGATGTAGTGAAGCAACCAAGTTGGGGGTGGGGAGGGTGTTGAATGCTCTCATTAAGGAGGCCAGACTTGGTGGAGGTGGTTGACAGGGGCAGAGTAGAAGCAATCAAGTTGGCCCATCCATAACGGGCAGGCAAAGCCTAAGGTATTTTGGGGCGGATTTGAAGGCCCTCATGAAGAAGACCAGACTTGGTGTAGGTGGTTAACAGGGGCAGAATTGCAGCATGAGGTAGGAGGCAGGTTCCTAATGTGGCATTAGGCCTAACCCTCTTAGTTTCCTTCCCTCATCTTTTCCAGATAGTAGGGTCCCCATTGCTATGGCTTTGCCCCAGGGAGGCACCCTACAATTTTTAAGTTTCTCCCCTTGGTATTTATTGGCAGGGATTTACCAGCAGTGCATAAGGGCTGGGCTGGAGGTTTGGGTGACTGCACTAAGCAGAGTGACATGGCTTGTGCTGAAGAATCCGGGGAAACTTAAAGTTTTAGTAGTGAAAATAATTGATCAATCTCTGCCTTCCTTTATAGAAAATAACACATTAATATCTTACCTAAGGCATCATGAACTTCAATTCCCGGAGAAGGACCACTCAAAGACACTGTGACCTCTTTCAAGCTAGGATCAAAAGGGATCTGCCAAGTATTTACTGCTGAAGTCAAGTGGTCTGTGGACAGGAGGTGAACTTTGGAAGCCTGAACAGCTTCTTCTACCCATTTCAATACCTGCAAGACAGGGGAAAACTGTTGTCCATATTATAGTTCAGTGGATGCATCACCTACTTTGCAGAATAACACCGCTGTTAACCATTGTGAATCATTTCATGCAACAGGAAGGTTGCAACACACTGGTCAGAACTACTATATGCTCAAAATTACTACAATGCTAACCGATCTCTACTCAAAGGCCCTGCACTGCCCTTTAGCCAACTGTTATTAAAATTTTATTTTACCTTTAAAAGAGGGTTGGGGGCTGTGGGGGAGGGAAAGAGGGTCTCCAGATGTTCTACCACACTTTCTGGGGTGGGTGTAGACAGGCCCCCCAGGAACATCTGCGTTTTTAAAATGCAGATGCTCCTGGGATAAAGCGCTGTTTGGAAGCGCCCAATGAAATCCAGATCAGATGTCACCAAGGCATGTAACACTGTAAGGGAGTCACTATTCTTTAAAGTAGGATTGATGACCATGATGACCTCCTAATGTTGCTGGACTTTGTTTCCCAATAGATCTAGTCATGATTGCCAATGCAGAGGAATTCTGGGATTTTTTTTTATTAATCAAAATGTTTATATCCAACCTGATGTTATAAGCTATCTGGGAAGCTTATGAGTTTAAATAATTTTAAATTTAAAACAATCCAGTTTTCTATGTGTTTTTAAAAAACCCATTAAACTATGTATGTGTGCAGATTGGATGAAATCATTAGGTCCCCCAAACGTGACACTGGAATGAAACCAATATTTCTGGTTGTAACTTGGGATCTGTATTTGAGGACAGCCCTACACCATGTAGTAATTGAATTTAGATGTTACCAGTGCCTAAACTATAGTAGCCAGGTTAGGTATGCTAGCCCTAACATCTAGTACAGTCTTAACAACATCTGAAACAACACCTGGCCTCCACTACAATCTTGCTGGAGACGGGCCAGGAGAGCGGGGGGGGGGGGGGGTATTGCCAGAAGAAAAGTTTGGGTTACTCAAGAGGAGAAGTTTACTCAAATATAAATGCATTAAGTAAATGTAAAGGAATAGACAAGAGAATTTGGCTGTTCAACTACTCAGGCAGTGCTGAACATTGTGTAAATGATCTTGGTGATTAGGTGCACACCACAACATTTTGCTACTGGAGTTTGCGGCCCCAAATGGGATATTTAGCCTCACAACTTTATGTATTTTATGAATCCCCCGTAATTGTCCTGATCCTATTTTATCTCATTTCAGTCCTTTAATTGCTTTTATCCTGTATATGCGGCCCGCCCACTGTTATCATCGTGATTGTGTTTATTAGAATGTTATTTTATGACTGCGTTTTTGTTTTTTGTTTTTTTTAATGTAATTTTGATGATGTTGTTGTTATTTGTTGTTTATGTTTTGATTTTATTGCTGTAATATGTTGTTCGGGCTTGGCCCCATGTAAGCCACTCCGAGTCCCTACAGGGGAGATGGTGGCGGGGTATAAATAAAGTTTAATATTATTATTATTATTATTATTATTATTATTATTAGATTGTTAAGCAACACCTACAAACCTAAAACCAATCATGTAACACTGGCTGATGTAACTTTAGCCAAGTGTAATTTACAAGGGACTGCGTTTATCCCACGTTTGGGAAGAAGTTTAAATGATGTTTTGCTTGTACCAAATTTAGAGTATTGCCTATTGAGTGCAGCAAGTTTGTGTTTAGAGGGATATAAAGTGAACCTTGATGATAGTGTGGGAAATGGCAAAGTGTGGGCAAGTGAGAAACTAATTAACAATGTTTATGTGTTAAATGATAAAGAAAATGTGTTGAACATATTAGGAACTAGTAACCAATCACTATTTCAGGATTGTGTGCACTACATACACCGTACTTGGACATTGTAGGAAGCAGAGTATGCCGCCACAGCAGCAACATGAGAGGCTTCCTATGTCACATTGGGATCAGCGGGGAGAAGCCGGGTGGCTTCCCTCCACTAAATGGGGCCTGGGGAAAGTTGGGTGATGAAGAGCATGGGGCAATGGGTTCCCCATGCAGGGTACCGTTGGATTTGCTATGATCTGTGGTAATTCTGGCAGCATATATGACGAGCAAAACATCCATAGGATGAATGAAATTAGCACAGAACTCACGTGAATCATCATCATCATCATCATCATCATGTAATTACTTATTAATCGCTCTCCATCCAAGATGCTCTAGGCGATTTACAAGCTAAATTGTAAAGGATAAAAATACATACATACAGATATTGATAAAATTAACATAGATCAAAAGCTCTAGTAAAAAGCCAGGTCTTAAGTGCTAGGGTAAAAGGCCCTAAATCATGCATGGCTCTCATATAGGGCGGCAAGGAATTCCATAAGGCAGGGGCACATTGGGATGGTCGTTGTGACCTCCGATGATGGGAGAAGGAGAGACGGTCCCTAAGATACTATGGACCCTGGCCGTAAAGAATTTTAAAGGTCAGAACTAGCATCTTATACAGACCACGGTAATCAGTTGGAAGCCAATGTAAGTGCCGCAACACTGGTGTTATATGGCATTTCACAGGCATTCTTGTGAGTAGCCTGTCTGCCGCATTCTGAACAATACGGAGCTTTCAGGTCATAGACATCAGAAGGCCAACATACAAGGTGCTGCAATAGTCCAGCCTAGACGTGACCGTGGCATGGATGACTGTTGCCAGAGCCTCATCAGATAGGTAGGGTGCCAATTGCCTCACTTGTCGAAGATGGAAAAAGGCCTGTTTGCTGGCAGCAGCGACCTGAGCTTCCATTGTCAGCTGCGAATCTAAAATGACACCCAAGCTCTTAATGGTAGGCGAAGGAGATAGGGCAACACCATCGAAGGTGGGTAGCAAATGGGTCATACCAATCGAGTGGCCATGCCAGAGAATCTCAGTCTTCACCAGGTTCACCTTCAGTCTACTAGCACGTAGCCAGTTTGACAGAGCCTCCAGACATAAGGTGAAAATGTCTGGTATTGACGTTGCCCCAGGCTCCAAATGCAGAAGGAGTTGGGTGTCGTCCGCATATTGATAGCAGTCTAGGCCAAAACTCCAAGCCAAACTAGCAAGGGGTCTAACATAGATGTTGAAGAGAAGAGGGGAGAGAATTGCACCTTGGGGTACCCCACATAGGAGGGGAGATCTTTCAGAGACTTGATCCAGGGGGTGGTGCTCATCTCCATTTTTAATTCAAAGAGCCGGTGATGCCCATAAACACCTCCAAGGTCACACATTGGCTCCGGTTTCGGAGAAATGAGTTGAACCAATTGAGGGCCTGACCCCAGCTAAAATCTATCTGAAAATCCACTGATTTTCTACAAGAGAGCTAAACATGTTCAGTTCTCCCAGAGAGAGCAAGATATTTTAAAAGTGTTTTGCTGGGCAGATCATTTAAACTTAAGTGAACTCAAGATGCAAATCTCAAAGAGGCTGACCTCCAAACAACTGTACATAGGATTATAACATTTACATTCACTAGGTTTTGGAACTTTCATTTTATCACAGAGAGACATAAACAAAAAGATCATAGTGGTTTTGGAAATTTAATATAGTCTCTAGATATGGATCTTTCTGCTTGCTGTTTTAAACAGCTTTGTGTGTATTTGGCAAAGAAAAATACCTCTCAGTGTCAAAATAAGCAAAAACTTGTCAGGCAAGATCAATTTATTAGTATGGTTAAGATTAGTCATTATTGCCTGAAATATATTGCCTTTAAAAAAAAAAGCCAAGCTTACTTCTGGTTTTGGATCTCATTTAAGGCCAAAGGTTTAACACCATTTGAAGCTGTAAATGCCACAGCTTAGTTCTGCAGCCAATGCTCCTTTGCCCCAGGCATTAGTATTATGAAAGGATATAAGACTGGGAACATAAATGTTCTCTCCAAACACTTACTTCCTCTCCTTCAGAGGTCTGTCAATGGCTATTTATCATTATCACCTTTTCTGCATGTTTAGAAACAGATTGTCCCAGATGCTGAATTTACTGTTATATTATATATTCATGCTGGGATTTGCAAACAAGCAAGAAAAACAATGAAAAAATGTGTTAAGTTGTAACATATAAAACCCATGATAAAAATGTAATGTAAACACCTAATAAACTTGGTTTATCTCATACTGGAAGCAACAAGAAATGCATGTGTTTAATCTATAGTAAAAGTAAAACGTTTTCTCTGACATTAAGTCCAGTCATGTCTGACTCAGGGGGTGGTGCTCATCTCCATTTTTGATTCAAAGAGCCAGTGATGCCCATAAACACCTCCAAGGTCATGTGGCCAGCATAACTGCATGGAGCACCGTTACCTTCCTGCAGAAGTGGTACCTATTGATCTATTCACATTTGCATGTTTTCGAACTGCTAGATTGGCAGAAGCTGAGCCTAATAGTGGGAGCTCACCCCGCTCCCCAGCTTAGAACCGCCAACCTTTCAGTCAAGAAGTTCAGCAGCTCAGCGGTTTAACCCACTACATCACCAGGGGTCCATTTGATCTATATCCCACCTTTTTCCCAAGGCAGAACCCAATCTGGTGAGCTCCCTAACAGTGGGAGCTCACCCCGCTCCCCAGCTTTGAACCGCCAACCTTTCAGTCAAGAAGTTCAGCAGCTCAGCAGTTTAACCCACTACATCACCAGGGGTCCATTTGATCTATATCCCACCTTTTTCCCAAGGCAGGGCCCAATCTGGTTTATACACAAATCTGGTTAACACAAATTAAGCAAAATACAGCAAACATTAAGCAGTTGAGATAACAATTTGAAAATATTTAAATAAACTATCAGTAATAAATATAGTTTCAAAACTGAGATGGGCACAGCAGTTGGAAACTGTAATCCAGCAAAATTTGGCAGTCCCAAACCTCCCCACTCCTGGTTATCTTCACTGAAGCAGCTAGTGATAGATACTAGATTATGGCCACACATAAGCATTTGCATGACTGCAGCATAACTAGAGCTTTCCATGTGTTCTTCCAGTGATGGAGGGATACAGTCACAACAAAACTCCACGGCCATGTGTTTA